CCCCGAGAGCGCCTCATCCGGGATAAATCGACGTTGCTCGTTGCGAGCGCCGAGTCGATCGATCGATCGGAGGGAGCCGGTGCGATTCTAATGAGACGCACGTTTTCCGACGTTTCCCGAGTTCACGAATATTTCATCGCGCTCGCTCGTCGTCGAGCGTGCGTTCGCCTTCTTTTCGTGTAACGCCGCGAGTAATTACGCCAACTTCTCGATTATCCTCCGACCGCACCGCTTACGCCGCGTTTTATCTACTTATAATTGGCCGAGCTAACTTCTTATTGCCGTTCGCCGTGAGGACGGAAGCGGAGGAAGCGGAAAAGGAGGAGGGGTGGGGAATTTTCGTGTCCACCCCGGGGGCGGCTTTTGTTATCGATGGCGCGTCGTCCCGTCGCACCGTCGGATTCTTCGTTAGCTTACCGCGAAATTGCACGTAATCGTCCGAATTTATCTGCCCGGGCCACCTGCCCCGACGTAAGGAACTCGACTACGCCGGGGGAGTAGCCGGGAAGCTCGTGATGAGCGTGCAGATAGCGCTAAGCGATTTATCAGAGTGGCGTGTACAGATATCGAGCGTCCCCGCTCGAAGAATATACGACACGCTCCTGTGTATGTATGTATGTAGGGTGTCCCAGAAGTCGCGCACTTTCTCCCGTCGTCGTTTCGTCGGACACCGAAAGTCGGCTATGATGGAAGTGGTTTTTTGCAATCTGCGTTATACCGTCCCCAAAGTGGGCGGTGGTATATCGGAGAGTTAAGGGACCGAAGTATCTCCGCTTGATTATTACTCCTTCTATCTCTCTTTCTCTCTCTCTCTCTCTCTCTCTCGTTCGCTCGCTCTCTTGGCTGGTTTCAATCTCTAAAACGTTTTATTCGTCAGAGCACATTCAACGTAGAGGGACGTTATTATCTGTCCAATTTCATAAGTAGGATTCTGCCGATCGCGCGGACCGATATGCGCGAACGTATTATGCGGCGGGATATTGTACCGCGGTTCCAGCGGTTAGAATTGCAAATGGGCCCCCGCTCGCGGAGCGAAGTCAAATATTTGAATAATCCCCGCTCAATGGCCGATTTATCTATTTACTGTCGGGACGACGTATCATCGGGGTTCATCGATCAGGCCCTGTCGTAACAGATCTCGAGTCGGGACGAAAAAAAAGCCGCGCATTCGTATCGGTGGATATTCTCTCGGTCGTGACGGGAACTCGGTGTCGGTGAAAAAAAAAGAAAAGCCGAGCGAGACTGGGTTCTTCATTGATCGACGAGCATTGACGAGCCTCGAGGATCGAGCGGGGCCGCGCTATGTCCCTCGGCCCGATCCCTGGCCCAACCTGGCCCACAATATCCTGGAAATGCCCAGGTGACGCGTACAACAACGAGAGTCTTCCACGAAGCAAGGACCAATGCTCTAGGCTCGCGGAAAAGCGGTGCGGCGCCTCGTACGCTGCCCTGCAGGGCAGCGAGGACGAGCTCGTTGAGCACGGCCTCGAGGAGGCGGAGGACGCCGCGCTGAAGACCCCCGGCAGCGAGACCGAAGACACCGAGGACAACGGCGCGAACGCGGAGGAGCCGCCGGCGTCGTCGCCCGTCCGCAGATTCACCTTTCTGCGTCGCTTCCGTTCGCCGCGCTTCGGCGAGGCGCACCACAAGCGGGTGCCGACGCCTATGAAGAGGAAGCACAGGCGGAAAAAGAGCAAGGACGACATCATTGACAATGACGTGACCGGGGCCGAGGAGGAGGAGGAGGAGCCGCCGAGTCCCGACCAGGCCGGCGTGCCTGATCCTTATTATCCGATCTACTTGCCGATCGATCAGGCCTTCAAGGCCAAATACGTGTTCCACCATAAGAAGGGCAAGACTTTCCAAGAGCGGCTCTACGTGTTCCTCGAGCACCCCGGCGGCTGGCTGTGTTTCGTCTACCATTTCGCTGTGTGAGTATATCCCATTCCTCGCCTCCCTTATTTCCTCGACCTCGCGTCTCTTCGAGTATATATATTTCTCACGAACGAACGAGGGGACCTCCCTCGCTTCGGAGAGAGAGGCCGTTCTCGCGGAGGGCGCGTTTGTCCTGCCCCCTGCGACCTTCGGGCGTGACACCTAGCGTGTACGTTCGTTAAAGCGGCGAAAGGTCGAAAGACGTAAAACGCCGCGTGACAGCAGCGGCTTCTCCTCCCGTTTCCGAGCGCCGAGAGCATCGATTTCGGCGACGTGGCCTTTGACACCTGGCGTGGCCCAAATCCTCCTGCACCGCCGAGGGGATTCCCTCGCTCTGCGATCGAACGTTCCCGCCCAAATCACTTCGTCTTCCGAGCGAGAATCGCGATTCTCGATTTGATTAAAGTACATGTTGCCTAACTCGCATGGGACTTCGTTGCTCACCATCGGCTCGATTCGATAAACGATAACAGGCGTCGGGAGCCGAATACCTGGGAATACCTGGGAATACTTGCCTTTGGGAGTGTCGATAAAGGAGCCTCCGAGTGTCTCCCTCTCTCCCTCTCTCTCTTCCACGAGACAGCTTTTCACGGAGAAAACAATTTTGCTGGAACAGCAAATTGTTAATGTAGTGACGGCAAATAAAATTTGTTCGGACAGCAGAAGGATTTGTTAAGAGTATTCATTGCCATTTGCTGGGTACATGGATGGTGCAAAATAATTCGGCCAATTAAATTTTATTGCTGTCGCAACAAGTTTTGTTACAACAGCGAAATTATTATATCCGTGCGACAAATTCCCTTGCTGTCGCTATATTGACAAACAATTTGCCGTTCCAGCAAAACTTGTTTCCTCCGTGTTATATCTTCGCCTGCGCGAACAATTTGCACGTACGTGCGTTATTAGCGTGCAACTGCGATATATCGCATTACTCTCTACGACGTCCCGTTAAGGATACCGTCTCCGGTGTCTGGTGCGCGGAAAATGAATTTAGAAATAATGCAGCTCGGTATCTCTGATATTCCGAGGGGGAGGAAGCTTCGTCGAAGCTGCGCTCTCTCGTGTAACCGCGTTTACATAGGAAAGAAAAGCGGAAACTTTAGTTTGTTCGGACGCGGAACAAACTGCAGAAAGAATAACTCTTTGTCAAACCCCGCTACGTGGTATTTTTGTGGCTGAATGTTCGGGGAAAGTACACAGTTAACCGACCGGACGGAGATAAACATTCGTGACTATACGCGAAATTGTGTTTTCTCTTCTGACGGCGCGCCTGCCGCCAGACGATAAAACCGATTGAGTACGCTGGGAAATGCCTTGAAAAATTAATATTAATACTTGCCCTTCGATTCTCACGCATTAGGGATATTTACGATACGTTCGGACAATACTTTCCCCGTTTTAATCCTAATTCATCATTTATTCGTTCTCCCGATTCTCATCGCCCGCGTATCGTGAAATCATCGACCGGCTGCGTTATCAAGTGCGCATTGAGCGTTTCCCGTTTTCCCGTTATCCGTTAATTACTTACGAGTAATTGCTCATTAGTTTCATCCAACTAACGCATTATAATTATCTCCTTTTATATGCTCTCCACAGGGGAAACGCCGTATTAACATTTCCGAAAGAATAATAAATAATCATCTCATACACGGGCATATATTGTCGTGCAGTTCGGCGCCTTCTAAAGAGCGCAGATTGACGTCGCGAAGTACCCCTCGTCCCGGCGACCACCGCATCCCAGAGAAACCTCACTGAGAAACTTCGCGGACTTCGTGCATTATTCAACGCGCTGTTTTTCATTTCTTCCAAACTGCGGCCGTCAAGCACCGGGGCCTTTTAAATAATTCATTATCGAAAGAAAACGCGCGGCGAAGTACCTGCGAAACAGATCGATCCGCGCGGAATACACAACGTGTCCCGGCCGTCCTCTCCCGGTCACGTCTATTTCAACTCCGGTCCGTCGCGTCTCAACCGTGCGATCGTTAAGCGGAAAGTCCGAATTATCCAGATTTTTCCGTACTTTCGTTTGTCTCGCGTCCCCCGTGCCGCCGATACTTAACTCGGACTTAAATTTTTCACCGGCTCCCCGACGCGCATCACCGTATTTTTCTTGCGCGTCTAATCTAAAATTAAATCCGAAATATCTCTCCCCGCGTTGCGGTAAAATCGAGTCGAGTAATAAATAAGGTGTTGCGTTTATTTAAAGTTGGCTAACGGTAGAAACTTGCGCGCGTGCGGTTTCCCGTGGAATTAATCGAGTTCCCCCCTCCTCCTCCCGCAGGACTGAGATAAATGCGCATTTTGTAAGACGACGCTCGAGAGATTAACGATAACGAAAATATTCAACATTCATGCGCGTGCCGAGGAAACGTCGTCGCTTCATGTTACCTTTCATCGTCCCCACGCGGCGGGATTCTTCTGATAATAAGCCGCGTTATCGGAACTTTCGAACGACGTGAAAGTCGAAACGTCGCAGTCGGAAATTGCCACGGAAGTGTCTTTCATTTTGCGCCCGATGGGTAATGTCATCGTGCCGGACACGCCATTCGTTTCCGGAAACGTATATCTATTTTTTCCTGCATACTGAGAAAATAGGTTGTATACCCGCCATAATTCGTTTTCGCAATTATTTTCCCAGGTCGTTCCCACGCGTTTCTCGTCGAAACGCTTGCTCGTTGCGTTTCGTTATCTCCCCCCCTCCCCCCCCCCTTTTTGCGATAACGCGCGTCTAGAAGCAACGTAATGAACACGATCATAACCGGCGGAATTGCGAAGTACTTAATTCGCAGATCTTACACCGAATACCGTTCAACCGTTCGCGTTCAGCGCTCGCATGATCGCGGTTAATAACGCGATTCTCTCGTGCGGCTTTAATGCTGCACCGTTCATACAGTCGTTAGACCGCCGGATAATGAAGTCGCGCTGCACGAAACCCTCGTCGTAAATATTTAATTGTGCGAATGATTATATTGATCGTCACTACAGCGGCCGTTATTATCTGTTATCGTGCCACCAATGACCCGAAGTGAATGAAATGAGAGATAGGGAGAGGGAGAGAGAGAAAGAGACGAGTCATTCAATCTGGATTCCCCGGAGAGGGAATTACCTGAAACTTCGCTAGTATTTATATTAGCTGTATGTCAAGAGAGAGAGAGAGAAATGAAACTGAAAAACCCGGAAAATATAACTTTTCCTTGCAACTTCCGACAATTCTTCATCGAGTAACGAAATACTAAGAAGAGAATTATACGCAGGATATCGCGTAATTAGACAGGTCGCTTGTATATACCACGTAACGATCTTCGTCATTCACGACGACGTTTTACAACGTCCGTCTACGAAACCGGTTTAGCGGGTAAAAGAAATTTATCTCCAAGCAGCCGGTAATTCTAATTCGACCGGCCTACTTTCGAGCCAGCGTAAATAGCAAGCGTGTTATTAGGCCCAATGCATATGCAGGCTATTTGCGTGCGGCCTGTTATTTTTAGATGAAAATCGCGCGCGCGCGCGCTCGTGATGTATCGATATCGCGCGCGCATAATGACGGAGATTAGGTATCGCGTTCGCGAAAGGTCGTTGGTAAATTCCTTAACAGCCCGAAACGAAAGGAGGAAAAACGAGCGAAGCCCGAAAGATTGGACCGATCGGAAGTCGCGATCCGACGTCATACGCAAAATTGGTGAACGGAACGGTCGAACGGTGGTGACATTTGACGTTCCGAAGATTAATGCGGGATACAGCGGAATTTAGCGAAACGCATAAAGCGCTCATCTGTACGTGTGTGTACTTAAATATTATTTCATGGAATATCATTGATCTTTCAATCCTCCCAGTTTGTCCGAATCGACAGGAATTACAGTCGATAACCGCATGCAATAATAATAATATTAATTACACGTCATTTTGAATTAATCTATTTTATTAGCGGCGGAACGGCCATGTATCGCGCACGCTCACGCGTGTGCACACACACACACACACACACACACACACGTGTTCAGGCAAATTTAATCTCCCAGAAAATGATTAAAGCGCAAGTACTTACGTGTACATATCGAGCGGATCGCGATCGCGAAGTATCGAGATGTTCGCATTATTTGTCCGTTTCCGAGCGCTGGGATCCATTTGTAATTAAAACCACGACGAGTATAAATAAACGATACGACATGTGATATGACGTTATTGCCATAGGAACTACGCACGCTACGTACGGTCGTAGGTTTATCTCTTCGTGATCGCATGTAGGTTAATTGATATGCAGGGGATGCATAACGTGTATATAGGTTCAATTATTTTGTATATCTTTTGCCGTAAGCAACGTATTGCACTTCCGTTCGACGCGCGAGTGTTAATATCGACATTAGATCACGTCCTTCTAGCTTCTCGTTACGTCAACGACGCCGCGACAGTCGGACTTTTTCCTTTTTGCTCACCGTTTCACGAAGGTCTTCTTTCCAATTTTTGTGACGGACTTTTTGCAATCGATCGTAATTGATTTCAACGACAGTATCGGGGCACGGGGTGTTGTTGGTTATCACATAACCAACTGTCGGCAATAAGCGGCTTTTGACAGACTGTTCGAACGGAGAAAGTTGCAAGTTGTTCTCTCGATACTGAATTGGAAAATGTAAGATCAAATCCCAAGATAAAGGTAAGAAATGATATAGCATCGAAATCGGACGGGAGAAGGATTAAAAAAAGAGAAAGAAGGAAAAAAAAAGGTAGAAAAGGAAGGAACGTGTGATCGATGATGGTGTCGATCGGAGAGATACGTTGTGACACGTTCTTTGGCATTTGATTCGGCGAGCACGTTTGTCCGAAACTCGAACGATTCCGCGGCGGCATAAGGAGGCTCGCGAGTTGGCGAGTCGCGGGACACGTCTATTCGACGCCCGGCGGAAGATGGATGGGCTCCGTGCGATGCTCGTGGAAAAAAGGAAGAATATGTTAGACAATTATCATAGTAGGTCGATGAAGGTGACCCGTGCAGCTACGGAGCGCTGTACATACGTCGGAATTATAGGCCCTCGACACGCTATCTTAAAGTGTACTACGCGGCGGCGATCGCTCGCCTGCCTGCCTACCTGCCCGCCCGCTTGCCCGCCCGGCTTCGTTAACGCCGTGCGCTCGTCCTGTTGCTTAACGAGGCAACGCTCGATAATAAATTACTTGTACAAGCAACGAAAGCGCCGCTAGATCGATCCGTCGTAGCAATTACCGGTCCTGTTAGCCGTTGTGCCCGCGAGGTTTGCCTCGCTGTCTCTCCCCCTGTCTCCGCTTTTTCACCGACCGTCGTCGATTCGCGCTTGATACCGCGTCAAGTGGTGATTAAGGAAGGATTCGCGGCCGAGGCGAGTCTAGAGATCGCTCGATTTATTCGGATGAAACGCGAAGAATTCTCGAGCGCGCCTGAATCTACGGATGGAAGGAGCCGAGTGGAAAGATGTTTCGGGAGAACTGGTCGCTAGAACTGGACGGTTTTCACCGGCTTAAATTAATCAGACGGTAACTGTTCAGAAACTGTCTAAAAAATACCAACTGTTGTTTCTTGACCAATTACTTGCCGTCAAATATTCCAAACAAAATATAGTTAGTACCGGACAGTTTCTATCCAGCAAAAATTCTGGAAATTCTGGCCAGTGCTTCTTAGCAACTTCCTGGCCAGAAAATAGGCGGAATAATAAATAAATGAAATAGTAAACGAATGAAGTGCTCAAAATCTGATTAGGAACTGGTCAGAAACTAGCTAGTTTTACTATCCGGTTATTGTCAAAGCAAAAATATCCCAAACTTGTGAGTTGTCAGCCAGTAAAACTGATCAGAAACTAGCTACTTAAAGAATTACTGGCCAGTTACTGGCTAAAAACTAGTTTAATTTCTACTCTCTTGGGGAAGTCTCTCCTCCTTGTGAACATTCGCGAATTACAGAATCGAGCAGCTTTTATTTTGAAAAGTGCGAGGGATTGCATAAACGCGTTCTCGGTGTATGTGCGGTGCGAGAGGTTCGCCGTCGACGAACCGACGGTTTCTTTGGAAATACCTCTTGTTTTCCTCTTTATACCTTCAACTTTATTCCAGATATATCTAATATTTATAAAAAAAAGAAAAAAGGAAAAAAAAGTACGCGAAAGAGATACGTAGGATACCCGCGAGAGCCATTCATCGGGATGATTGGGTTTTTTAACGCTAAATTGCCTCTATTAACCTGCCCGGCGCGCTAGAAGAATAGAGAGTATTTTTTCATAAAGTCAACTTTTTTGCTTTTATTTAATAATAAAGCTCTTTTGACGCGGGTTAGCCCCGTAATCGCGGAATGCCGCGCGCGAGAGAGGCAGTTATTTAATCTTCCCGCGCCGCGGAGAGTTTGTGCCCTGTAAGCATACCGTTTGAATTATTACGTCCGCCGTGTTACAGTTGAGTATCAGCAGTTGAGTGCACGAGAGTGCTCGAGGCACGAACGCGTTCTAATTCATCCGACATCTCTAAGATCCCGTTCCAAAATAATTCATAGAATAATTTTGCGTGAAACCGCTCGGAAGGATATGGCATAATGCCCGGGTGGAGCAAATTTGTCGAAGATCTCTCAAAGACGTCTGAAAGATACCTAAAAAGAAAACAAATCGAACGCCTTTTAGATGCCTTTGAGACATCTCGTAGACATTTGTTCTCTCTGGGAGCGATCTGCGCGGGATTTAAAAGCGCGAAAGTACAGCGGGCGATGCGCCGGCGAAGTAGTCGCGCGCATTGCCCGCGAATATTTTTATACCCCCAAATGTCATATGCAACCTTGATCGATACAAACACAGGTCGCGCATTATGTATACGTCACGGCAGTGTGTTAGAAGTTTAAATAAAAAGTTGTTACAAGTTTAAATATAAAGTTGCACTCTGCAACACCCCGGCAATCGGTGCGGCAAACGACGTCCGATGTGTCGCACTTGTAGTTTGCCGTACGATTTGTCAGTCCGGCCAGACTTGACTGACGTAGCGTTCTCTAACGAACAGTTCTTTTGTTTCCAGTGACGGAACAGGTAAGAAGTCGTCCATTGTTCCTTTCGTTTATTCCGAGCGTCAGAATCGGAATGACGAACTTTCACGCACGACGGTGCGATACGTAAATCGATTATGCGCGAGCTGTAAAGCGTCACGTAACGCACAACCGGTAAAAGCCGCAATTTACATCGCGCGATTCATTCATCGGAGCGTTTGTTGATGACGCGCGCGTAACGCTTGGATTATATCAGACTGATGGTGGAAACGTTCATTTGGCCGCGTTATAATTATCGGGCTTAATACAACCCGGATTACAATTAACGGGATCTTAAGCGCGATTTAATTGGACGCGGTTTTGCATCGGGTGGATTTTACGTCACGTGACGCGACGGAGTGCACGTTCGGAGTGGCGCTCTCATTTTTTAATCTCGCTCATATTATTCCCGACGTTCTCGGATAGCTGATATCTCGCGTTATACAGAACGCGAGTGAGAACGTCGATTCATCATGTGTTCACGACGAGCAATCCGTAGCCAAGGTGAAGTGTGACAGTTCCGGAACAGTTCGGATTGTGTACAACTTGCCGCTTCCACAAGCGCGTCGCGAAACGTCGGAAAGTTCGGGTACTTTCGCGATAGAGACCGCGCGAGAGTGCTCGCGCTTAACGCTAAAGAAGGAGAGAAAGCAAATTTTGGCCGAAGAATCCTGGATTCGCTTCAAACACAAACTCACCCTTACCGTCCTGAGTCGATATTTTGATGCTACTCCGACTCTCTTAAGGATAGTTCGCGCTTACTTGACGATATCGATACTTTTTAACTTCTCTCTTGAACCTTTAATTCTACAGATTGAAGTTTTATGCCACCTTCATCATCTTATTTTAACGCCGAAAAGGAGTTGTATTATTAGAATTGAAATCGAACTTATTTTAGCTCCTACTATGTTGTAGAATTAAAGGTTTAACGTAGGGCCAGAATTTCGGCTCCGAATAGAGCGTCCCCCTTTTCAACGTAACGAACCAATGAAATTTAACCTGCCCGTTGGATATTCTGAAACAAAATCGAGCTCTGACCAATTTCCTCGTATGTATATATTGTGAAAATGCGTTTCCTTTTCAGGTTCATGGTGGTATTGGTGTGCCTCATATTTAGCGTTTTGTCAACGATAGACCAATACAGTAACTTCGCAAACGAAACCCTGTTTTGGATGGTGAGTAGCTGAACGATCGACGACGTGCAAAAACGCTTCGCTCTCCAGCCGTGACGTTAGATTTTCGCGATATCCCCCGAAAGACGCTTCGGACAAACTTCGTTCAATTAATACATTCGAAAAGAGCGCTCTGCTATTTATCAGCCTGCCCGAGAACAAACTCTGCAACAGTTTCTCGGGAGTTTCCCGCGTTTCTCTTCTTCCGCCACGAGGAATTTGCGCAAATAAAATTAATTCTTCCTCTTTCTCACACTCTCTCTCTCTCTCTCTCTCGTCTTATTAACGTTTCCTGCAGGACTGATTTTTAACGACTTTCCGTTCTCTCCGGTTTTAGCAGGAAAAATATATGACGTTCAAGATGCGCGACAGAACAAATCTGGTTATTTGAAGAAATGTTTGTGTATTTACATAATTCATGTCGAAGAAAGGGAAGAAGTTTTCATTTCTGATATTTTGTTAATATTTAACATCAAAATATATTATTTAACAAATTTATTATTTTACGTATTAAAATATATCATTTACAATTTAACATCTAAACTATATTTTTAACGAAAACAATACGTTTTTCGCGCTTCGTATAAATTATTTATAATTATAATGGCATATTTTACAACATGTTGCGCTGAAACGTAAATGCGTCTTGCTTTTACAATCATTGCGGAACATAATTACATTTACGAGTGGAATTTCTTTCTGATACCGTGTCGCTGATACCAAACTTCTTATTATATTATTTTTACAGCAAGCTTTACAGAGTCGGTTTATTAAATTGAATTTTCTGTCCATTTTTTAAAGAACGTTTCCAGAAATCATATCATTACGCCGCGTCGGGCTCAATCGACCCGTAATATGATAACTGCCCTATGAGATGAATATGCGTAATGTAATATACGTGATACCCCGTCGTCGGTACACGATTTTATGAAATATTTTATAATAATTTTACACATATAAAAATAATTAAAGTACACAACGGTCTCTGAGCGGAAAGCTCGACGACGGGGCGTATCGATGCGGCAGGGAGCGAGTTAAAAAGAGAGAGGAAGAAGAATATCAGTTCGACGCGAAGCCTTTGTGTGACGTAAAGTCGCGCACGGATCACACTGCGAACAACCGTTGTTGACGCAAATATCGACGCGCGCGCGAATCGTGAATCGGTATTCGGCGTTATAAAAGCTTACGATTTTTCGCGGTGCCTTCGCGACGTGTAACTTTTGCTCCGAAAGAGGTAAGCGCGCATAAAGTCGACGTCCCGGGCCGTAAAAGAACGTAGTAAGCCGGTTCTCTCAAGGATCCCGCCTCGGTGTACTTCCAACGTCCTCGTTTTTCTAGGACGTCCCGTTGGTACAACGGCGCCATTACAATCGATACAATAGCCCCCCTCCCCCCTCACCGTTTGCATGCTGCCGCGTCTGTTGCATATTCATTTCAGCGACGACTAGCTAACGTACGAATCCGCGTTCCGGCGATCGAAGTCATCTCGATCTGATCGTCATCTCGATCGCTTCCGCTTCGAGATCGCGTGGACGATGCGAAGTTCACGTCGTAATTGGCCGCGCAGAGTTGTAAATGTTTTTACGCACAATGCGTAAGAACGAATCGGAGCATCGCTCAATATGCGAGGAAAACGATAGAAAACTTCCAAATTGCGCTTCCAGCTCTTCCAGCTGCCAGTTACCGTAATATTTGCTTGATAAAGAAATCCTGCAACTTGTACTCCAGCAGACTCCATTAATGTCGGCCCCATTCCCTACGCGTAGTAACGTTGAAAATTTTTAATCAGGCGCGTTCTTTTTTTGGATATTTTTGTATCACGATTGTTGTTTACGAGAATCGTTGCTAATTTATTATATAAAATTGTCATGATGCTCAAACAAATAATGTCCTGCTTTGAAATCTTCGATGTTACTTTTTCTAGAGAATGGAACAGCATTAGCGGAGTCCGCTACATATTCTGAACGTGTCAATATTCCAATTAGAAAAATTTCAAGAAAAAACATTTTTATACCTCTTGGATTAAAAAAAAAGTGTAAAGGCCTAAAATGATACGAAAAGTTTGCAGAAAAATATAATTTAGTTAAATTTTCCGTTAGATATGGTAAAGCGGAGTAGCACGCATTTATATTTATATCGCACGTATATATATGAACGAGAGATAGAAAAAAAAACAGCGTGATCGTGTTATGTAACAATACGAGAATACGGAAAAAATAATATTGCTGGCGTAACAAAGTTAGTTTGTTATAGGGGCAACAAGAAAATTCGTTACGTGGAAAAAACAGTTTTGCGCGGAAAAAATAATTTTTGTGGCGAAACCGTTGTTGTTACAGCGATACAATTCAGTTCGCGTAATCAAATTATTTCGCTGTCTATATATCTTAGCAAACTAATACTCTTAACAAATCTTCTTGCTGTCCAAGCAAGAAGTTTTTGTAGTTCCCGCAGTGACTAACAATTTGCCAGCAAAATATTTTTCCCCGCTAATCGTCTCTCCGTTATCGACAAGCTCGTCAAGTTCGTCCTCGACTCTTCGGCACTACTCTTAATCATGCAACTGTGTTATTCATCCAGGAAATATGTCTCGTGGTATTCTTCGGGGTCGAGTACATGGTCCGACTGTGGAGCGCCGGCTGCAGATCGAAGTACATGGGTTGCTGCGGACGGCTGCGATTCATACGGAAACCGATTTGTATCATAGGTGAGTGTGCGTCCTCTTCTATAATGCAACTCGCGCGCGCGCGGCCCACACGCCCGAAACTAATCCGATATTCGCATTGTCCGATCGACGGTGCAAAATTGGATCGCGCGCGGATCGTCCCTTTGTCTCGGATCGCGCGCGCGGGATCGTTTGCGGGACCGTCGTGCAACTTTGTGCGATTAAGCCCGGTCCTAATATCGAATCCATTCTCGCCGAATCGAGATCGTCAGCATCGTATCGCGATTATCGGACCCGGCGACGGAACTTTGTTTTCGCACTTGCGCGCCAACCTATTCCCACCGCACGGTACTATTCTTGCAGCGATAAAACGCAGCGTATGCGCTTCGGATTATCCGCTTTGCGCTCTATCCCCATTGTCCGCACACTTTGCTTCCCACACTGTTACTCGCCACAATTGACGGACTGTGTCCCATTTTATTGTATTTCACGCTTGATTTTATTTCGTTCATTTCTTTCACTTGTAAAGCTCAGCATGGTAATTGCGCGCGACGCAGAGATCGCCCGAGTCGGAACTTCGGTCCTACGCTGATCCCGCAAGTTGCGCCGAATTTGAAGGATCGACGAAGGAGAATCTCGAGATGTAACATTACACAGGCTATTGTCACATCTTTTGATACTGTAAATTATTTGCTACCGTGTTATCCACGTTGAGTCGTAAATAAAGACTTATTTCCGAGAATTATTTCATATCCGATATTTCGCGAGCATTTAATCTTTATTCTAATTTTAATCAGCAACGTATTAATTATCGTAATCTTTATTCGTAATTTCAATCAGCAACGTATTAATTATCGTAATTTCCGTTCGAAGTGAATACATGGGTGGGGCAAGTAAATATTAAATATATTTGTATAGATAAAAAAAGAATAATGTGTGCAAGCGATTAATGGGTAAATAAAATCAATGCATTTACTTTATTCGTAAACTTTCGCTCGTTTCTTTCTTTCATCGACGTTGGCAATTTTTAACAGAACTGGAAAATTCAAGAGGAATGGAAGAAAGAATATTATAAAAGCATTATTATATATTAATTTAAACAGAAGTGAAAACGAAGCTTGGTAGATTCAAAGCGGCTTAATGCCTTGCGACTTAAAACTAATTAGACGCGAAAAGCAATATTTGTTAGATTTACATTCGATTCTAAAGCCGGTGTTCATAACTGTAATCTATTGTACGCGATCATTAATTGGAAGCATAATTAATCACAAATTCACAATCGAGAACCATGATTCGTCTGTTTGAATCAGTACTTCCTGTTGTATAAAATAAGCACGGCAGACACACAGGTTAACGAATAAGACCGAGATTCTCAGGAAGCTATGATTATTTTCTCAAACGATAATTACGAGTGACAAGCAATTATAGCTTCGTGAATCTCTGATTATGCGCCAACTTGTACTTTTAATATTATTAATTGAAATCGAGAAGGAGTTTCTAAAATCATTGAAGTAATGCAACATGAAATAATTCTGAACTAAGTACCTTTTTTAAGTCTCAATATATAGGAAATGGTGGTAACTGTAAAAGTAACTGTTTGTAACATTTAGTACGATATTACACCATTAGGCCTTCAAGTTAGATGGAATTCTCAGGTTTAATGTAGGACCGAAATGCCGGCTCGGACGGCCGCGATTGTTATCGCGGTTAAAATTGTCCCCATGACTCCTGTCAGTTTTCGAGCGTACGGATAAAAAGGGAGATATCGCTCATAACCGGCGACACGCTCGTCCATGACACCGACAAATGAATTTTCCAGATAAACGGTAACGTTCGGATTAATCGGAATTAATTAATCGGATTACGCGCTCCGCGTTTATCGGCATAGCCGATTGCATCCGTTTAATCGGCCTTCTTCGCCGGCTGAAAATATTTATTTTAATCGGCGCGACGAGCGTGAAACGTGTGTTGTCTCCGATATAAAAAGAAAATATTTGCGCCAGTCAAGCAATGTTTCCCGCTCGTCGCGAGTATCGTCTTAATCGCGCCGACAGCGGAATTTCTCACGATGTTTGCAGATTTAATCGTCGTGGTAGCGTCTATGGTAGTGCTGTCGGTGGGGAGCAACGGTCAGGTATTCGCAACTTCCGCCATCCGGGGTATTCGGTTTTTGCAAATTCTGCGAATGCTCCATGTCGATCGTCAAGGCGGCACGTGGCGACTTCTGGGCTCCGTGGTTTTCATACATCGCCAGGTATCACCCGTAGCTGTCGAAAGTTTCCGACCGCGCATGACGCGTAAATTAACTGGAGAAAAGTTTACTCGGCGGAAAGAGTATTTGATTTGATACACCTCACGCAACGTTTACCCTTATTTCGCAGGAGCTAATCACAACGCTGTACATTGGATTCCTAGGCCTTATTTTCAGCAGCTACTTCGTGTACCTCGCCGAAAAGGACGCGGTCGGACCGGACGGCAAAACGGACTTCTCCAGCTACGCTGACGCGCTGTGGTGGGGAGTGGTGAGTCTTCCGCTCGTTACTTACACCGGCGCTGTGAAATATATACAAACTGGGTTACCTCTACGTGGGGAAAATTAACTTTGCTATCGTAGCGAAACCGTCGTTGCGATGAAATTTAGTTGACACGACCAAATTAGCGAATTATTCGTAAGTAGAGCGCGCGGGAAAAAAATTAATCTCACATCAGAAATAGATATTCCCATATATAAGCAAGGATATTATAATTTTCTCAGAAGACTTTTAGTCTTGAATTAAGTTACTGGTTTTCTCAAGTATTACCAGGGTACTGGAAATTGCGCGAAATATTTGAAAATATCATATATATGTATATCGGAGCGCACATATACGTGGCTTCTCTTTACGTGCGTATCCCATCTGTCCATCTTTCGGTACGGCCGCGTTTTCCGTTTAGCACTACTGACATGTGCATTGCATATGTTACAGTCGCATGTTACATACTCCGTTTGTTAAAAAAAAAATCAATAACCACAAAGAATCAGTGTGTCAGTCATGGAAACATATATTAAAATACGACTTTTAATATCTCATATAGTTTTGAAGGCTCGGAAAAAACAACCGATTTTTTCTTCAATTTTTCCGCAGATTTTTTTTTATTTTTCCCAACGATAGGAAAATTCGTTTGGAAACATTCACGCGTGTTCGGCTGAAATCTGCCACATTTACTTCTTTCCGTAAGAAGATCGTTGCTTGCACTTAACGAAATGTCCTTCGTAATTCCGTAGGGCTTTTATTTCAACGTGTACCAACTTTGACGTGACACGGTTAACAATGTACCTCGGGAAACCGGAAACCCGGGTATTTTCCGCAATCCCGTGAAATTCTCGACATACTCGGGTCTATCTCGGGTATATTAGCCGGGTACTCAGATATTGACAGTGCTAATTTATACGACAACGATAACAACACGCGAGAGAACTGCGCGCTGTTCGTTTTCCTTCGTTTTCGACGAGACGCGAAGCCGAGCCGGGAACAAGACGCGATAAGGGATATTACGTCGCGAATGAGTCGCTCCCGCGATCACGTGGCTCGTCGCCAGCTATGTGGAAAAATTTTTCGCGAGCGACGGTGTTGATCGCGGCGGCGATCGATTCGCAATTCGTCGCGCAGCAATGATACGTTTTCAATATGAGTTTGCAACCGATACGGATATCGATATATCGATACGAGCCGTGGAGCGCGCGTTACTTATCGGAGCATAACGCGTTAATTAATAGGACTAATTAATTGAATTTCATGAGGCAAACTACCGGAAGGGTAAATTTGTTAACTGTTCGCGCGGCAAAATCCTCCGGATTAAGTCTGATTTCATTAGCGTCGCGGAGACACCGCGCGCCGCGCGTTTAATAATTTTATACACGCGCATACGCGCACGCACGCACACACAGAGAAGCATATATATGTGTGTGTATATGCATATATATATATATATATATATATATATTTATTTATTATATATGTATATATTTCTTTCTTGTATTTTTCGTTATAGATTACGGTAACAACGATAGGTTACGGCGACACGGTACCGCAAACGTGGATGGGAAAAATAGTGGCTTCGTGTTTCAGCGTGTTCGCCATATCTTTTTTCGCACTTCCAGCTGTGAGTATACGTTGGATCTTTCCATTTGACATCCCAAAGCCCTTTCGTTCGCGTCTACTGACCCTGGTTGGAAGAGAAAGTACATACTTGGTTGCAAAACGGTTTTGATACGATGAAGTTGTTGAAGCGCAGCAAAACGTCGCGACTGAGAGACACTACTGATTTCGGGCTTGCCGAAGCGATAGTACAGAGTGTGAAAATAAATTTGTTTCAAGATAACGCGGCAACGTGGTGCATACATTTGAAAATATCCTGCACTGTTAGAGAAACTTCATAATCTAGTTGCGAAGTTCTTTTACATAACCAAGTTATGAAAATTAATAATCAAATTGATATTAGATTTAATAACGCAAGTTATGAAAAGACATTTTGAATCCACTTTTCGTAATGATGCTGTAATAATTTAGAATATGAGATTTTGTGAATGAACGTTAGTGAGGTACATCACAACCGATGTAACACTGATGATTTCACTAATATTTGACAACTAACGGTTTATGTCGTTATTAAACCCTGCATCATACTCATACTAACAATCATACTGTATATTATTAAATATTAGAACAACTCTAATGCATCATAACATATTATAATATGTCACATAATTAAACATGAGAGCTAAACAGCAAATTATGTAATATAAGACGGCAAAAATATTAAATTTCACATTTGTTCTTTGACTTCGCAGTAAATCTGAAACATCGTAACTATTTTATAACTAACAACACTGACATTATAAAAATTGCGAAAAATCATAAATCTTGATATGACATTCGTAAATTTACCATCGCAGAAAACGCTGTTACTTTCAAGAACTTTCTTAACAGCGTGAGTTTAACCACGTTGCGATGTTGATTCTCTGTTTTTCGGGAAGGGTCCGAATAAAAGTCTACGATTCGAACGACCCTTCTCGGCCTCTCGGTTCAGCCGGGCTTTCTCTCTCTTCTCTCTTCACTTCGACCCTCCTTCCGCAAATTTCCATTTCATTCCTAAACCGTCTCGCAATCAGACGAAACCGTCGGTGCAGCGGACTCGCGAATTCGTCCTCGAATCTTCCGCAGGGCATCCTGGGTTCCGGATTCGCGCTCAAGGTGCAGCAGAAGCAGCGGCAGAAGCACTTCAATCGGCAGATACCGGCTGCCGCGATGTTGATACAGTGCCTGTGGAGGTGTTACGCCGCCGACAAGGCCATCAACAGCGTCGCCACGTGGAACATCTACATCAAGGACCCGGCGCCGGCCGGACAGCCGTCGACGCCTCTGGGAAAGGTAATGTTTCTCCCGTATTTTAGCGGTGCGGAGCAGTAGCCGTTGACTAGCTGTTGACTGTTGATGTTCTTAGCTGCTTATACAATGTCCTTGGGCGTACCGAAGTGACCGAGCCCGATCGTCGTTCGATCGTCCGGATTCATCGCGAATGAGCGGGAAGAACGAACGGACGAACGAACGTACGAGCGAGCGAGCGAGCGAGCGAATGATTCACCGTGCGCTCGCGAAAGACGGACGACCTAATCCGTTCGCGAATCTCGTCAATCTCGAGGAGCGTCGGGGCACGCGAATCGGTAGATACGCGATCTCGCTCGCACGGATCTTCGCGGTCGGCGCGATTCCCGGCCGTGCCAACCCGGAATTACCCGTGATTTCGACCCGATCGTGCCCCGGGCTAATTGCTCCCCCAAGATCCGCCGACTTTTACCCGCGATTACACGCTTACCTCTTCACGTGCGGCCGGATTATCGACTAATACCGCGTCACAGAGGAGCCCCGTCTCGTTGTGTTCGCCTCATCTCTTTTAGTCTCTCTCTTGTTCCGCCTCGCGCGCTCTTTTAAGCGGATTTCAGCGAGAAATCAAATTTGCCTTGTGCCGTCGACCTGCCGCGCGAAGGGCGGCTCGAAGAAGGAGAGATGTCGTATAGCGCGTACAATAAAAGTCTTTTTTTCGCCCGGGGGAACCGATAAGCCGGGCTGAATTGTCGTTGAATTTCGAGAACTACGACGAAGTGAAATGTTTCTCCGTTCACCTATCTCCTTCTCTCTTTCTTTCTCCCCGCCTGTGAACGAGCTTCGATTACATCTCGCGCATAAATTCCGCGCGATAAGGCGAACGTTGAATAGCGCACGCCGGAATTTAAATACACAATTCATGAATAATGCATCTCTCAAACGAAGCGAACACATCGAACCCCTCCTCTTCCGCTTTCCGAGCGAGTCCAAATTCGTGTTGTAATGATTATGGGGGG